CTCTAATGTACTTGAACCTGTTGTCATAGTTACCAATCAGTCCATCTTATTGAAGGTCTTCTTTTTTAACTCTGGTTTTCAGCCTTTCTAAGTATGATGTTCTTCTCCAACGACTGACTCCTCCTAACAATATGTATAAAAGAAGTGAAATGAAGCTTCACCATCCTTGCTTCCAAGAAGCACCATGGTCATAATTTCTCCAACAAGCTTATTTACTCTTTCAGTAGTCCATGGAATATCCAGTACTCTTGTCCAATACCACAGCTCAAAGGTAGTCATTCTTCTTTTGTTATCCTTAATCATGGTTTAGCTTTTAGATGCATGTAACCTTGATCAGCCACCCTTTAGTCGTTAAGTTGATATCCTTGCTCTTCAGCATTTTGGAGAGCTCCCGACAGCATATTTTCCAAACATCTTTTGATTTCTTGGCTGCTTGCTCTAGCAGTATTCATGGAAAGATATTGTTGTATCACTGTTTATTTCCACATTTTTATTATACTGTAGCTGTACAAGATAATGTTACTGTTTTTAGGAAATAGTTCAGATATCTTGATTTTAAATCATGCAGTATAATCTCGCTCTATTCAGACAACAGTGTCTTGGTCTAAGTATAGTTCATGAGCACAATTAAGTATCCTGAGATTTCTATTCTTCTCTATGTTAGCTGTAATTTGGTGTGAGCCACAGAGTCAAATGCACTTCCACAGTCAATAAAACACAAATGGCATCCTTCTGTATTTTCTGTTTTCAGTAAAGTTCCATCCATCTGACATCAGCAATGATATCTCTGGTGTCATGGCCTCTTCTAAATCTGACTTGAATTTCTGGCTTTTCTCAGGACCTGTACTTTTCTAGCCATTTTTAAGATATTTAGCAAGATGCATGGTTTAAAATCAAGAGAAGTGTGCTCCAAGGCTGTACCCTTCCTCCATACTATTCAATCTGTATGCAGAACAAATCATTTGGGAAGCTGGACTTTAAGAAGAAGAATGTGGTATCAGGATTTGTGGAGATTCATCAACAATCAGTGTTATGCAGATGACACTTCCTTCCTCTGTGAAAATGGAAAAGGTCTGAAATATTTGTTGCACAAGATATGGATTATAACTCTACATAAAAAAGGGGGTGGTCCAGTGTGAAAAACAATTTATATGAACTATATGAACTTTATATGTAAACCAGTATAAAATAAATTTTTTTAAAAAATTAAAAAATGAGATTGGAAAAGAAAACAAAATCCTCACTACTGGATCAATAGGCAACATAGTGATAGATGGAGAAGGAAATGAAATTGTCAATAATTTCATTTCACTTGGATCCACAACCAACATTCTTGATACTAGTAGTCAAGAAATGAAAAGAATTATCACATTGGGGAAACATGCTTTCAGGGACCTCTCTAAAGTTCTAAGAAACAATGATGTAAGTTAAAAAAAAAAATAAGTGAGTCTGATCCAATCCCTGGTCTTTGCAATTATTTGCTGTGTATTTGAATGTTGACCAATGAGTCAAACTGATAGACGGAGAATTGATGCCCTTGAGTTGTGGTATGGGAGAAGAATATTCAATATCCCATAATATGACAAAGGAACAAACAAATCTGTCTTGGAGAAAGTTAAACCAGGGTGCTTTTTGGAGGAAGGAATGGTGAAACTACAGCATGTTGTTAGGAGGGACCTGACCTTGGAAAAAGACATCATGCTTAGCAAGGTGGAAAGTTAGTGAAAGAGTCTATTTCAACCAATCAATCAATCCAACAAGAGAGGACGATCCTCTCTTTCAATCTATCAATCCAACAAGAAAAGAAGACCCTCAACAAGGTGGACTGATACAATGATTGTAACAGTGGCCTCCAGTATAACAGAGATGATGAGGATAGAACAGGCCAGGCCATAGTACAGAAGTACTGCTCATAGGATCCCTATGAGTCATGGTCACCTCAATGGTGTGAACTACACGAAGTGAAGATTTAGAAGTAAAGGAACACAATACCTAACACAACGTATGTATCTCAACATCAAGAAAACAAAGATCCTCAGTGCTGGACCAATAGGCAAAATCATGTTTGATGGAGAAAAGACTGAAGTTGTTCACAATTTCATCTTTCTCAGATCCACAATCAACACCCTTGGCACCAGCAGTCAGGAAATCAAAAGATGAATTGCACTGGGGAAGTTGGCTGTCAAGGACCTTTCCAAAATGCTGAAGGGCAATGATGTCAGCCTAGAGACTAAGTTGCTCCTAATCCAGACCACAGTCCCCTCAGCTGCTAGCTATGTTTCTGAGAGCTGGACAATGCATAAGGATGACAGAAGACGAATGAATGCTTTTAAGTTAAGATGCTGGAGAAGAGTTTTGAACACATCATGGACTGCTAAGAGAACAAGTCTGTACTGGAGAGAGTGAAAGCAGGTTGCTTCTTGGAGGCAAGGGTTTTGAACTCGGTCTCACATATTTTGATCATATTGTCAGGAGGAGCTAGATTTGCAAGGGTAGAGGGTCAGTGCAGAAAGGAAGATTCTGGCTAAGCTGGATGGACACAGTGACTGTGGCAAGAGGGTCATGTGTGTTGGAGACTGTGAGACTGGCTCAGGATAGGGCTCAGTTCAGAGCTGCTGTTTAAGGAGTGGCTATGAGTCTTAGTCAACTCAATGGCACTTAATAAAAACAACAA